TTTCTTTGGAAACCAGAAGGTTTTTGAGACGATTTCTGATTAGGTCCTGGTGAAAAGCTTGCAAGCTCTTATTGTGGAGAATCTGGGATGTGATGTGGGCAGAGCAAGCAGTCAGGTCTCTGTTGTTCTGGAGTGCACGCAAAGGCCTTTGCTTGGTGGCCTTGCTAATTAGGAAGCAGATGGCTGTGATCATTTTTACATGGGCTTTTGGGATGTTAAGACTTCAGTAACCCCCAACGACAGGAATTCTGTGGCTCAGGTTTTTTAATTCCTCGCTTGCACAGAGGTGGTAGGAGCCTCTAATGAAGCTTTAACACTGAAGTCTCTGAATGTGTAGTAGGCCCTGTGTGGAGTCTGGCTGTCACTCACGCAGTGTCCAAGAATGAAGTTCCACTCCAGAACTCCCATGTCCATGTGCTCTCCGCTATGGATGGCTTCTCAGTACCCGCATGGAGAGAACACGCTGGGAAAGAATGGGCTGTCATTCTAGCAAAGTGGTGTGATCCATGGCTGAATAAAAAACCTGCCTGGGCTGGTGAGAGGGCTCAGTCGGTCAAGGCAGCTGCCACCAAGACAGCTGACCACCTGAGTTCGATTCCCGAGACTTCCGTGGTGGAAGCCGAGAACTGATGGCCACAGCTTGTCCTTTGCTTCCACACACACACGTGACACACATGCCCCCCCCACAGGTGAGTGTAATTAAAAGTCCTCACGTTTCTCATTAAGAATATATATATATATATATATATATATATATATATATATATATATATATATCCAAGTAATTTTTGTTTTTATAGTTAACAATTACCAACATTCAAGTATGTTGTTTCCATTATTTTATATATTCATCATAAAAGAAAAAACATAACAATTAGCCTTATGGTTTCATAGTCAAATGTAGAAAAGGGGTGGTTCTCATTATTTGTTGTAGTTACAGTCTATAAAGTTACCTCAAACATTGAACTGCCAGTGACTATAACATTGTTCTTGGGGGACATACAGAATTAGGAACCCAGGAGACTGTGTCAGAATAGGATCTTTTGTTCTTAATATGTATGTACTTGTGGGTGTGAGCATGTGTGCACGTGGCTGGTCACAGTATTCTGTCAACCAATGAATACATGTGCATTTTTTGAGGATATATGCTATAAATGGGATGCATTTATTTATTTATTTTTTTTTTTTTTTTTTTTTTTTTTGGTTTTTTGAGACAGGGTTTCTCTGTGTAGCTTTGCGCCTTTCCTGGGACTCACTTGGTAGCCCAGGCTGGCCTCGAACTCACAGAGATTCGCCTGCCTCTGCCTCCCGAGTGCTGGGATTAAAGGCGTGCGCCACCACCGCCCGGCTAGGGATGCATTTATTTTTAATAAAACATTCTCTCAAGAACAGCACTAGGTACTCTACCAGACCATGGCGGTAGTTTGACATATGTACACACAAACACAGAACGCTCATGATCAGATAGTAAACACAGCACTGTGCTCATATGCTGGGCACTATACAGTAGGAATGCAAATAAACTCTTGAGAAAAGTACTTGCAAATATCATGCAGTTGGCTTCGTGAAAATGTTGGCTAAAATTGCACTGTAGCTGCAAGATGAGTGTGCTTTGACCTCTGACCTTGGCTTGCCCGTAAGTCCACATGGGGAGACTGAAATTGGTTCAGCAGAAAGGGGAGATGTGGACAAAGAGGGCTCTTCCCTAGGAGTTTGGCATTTGTTACAGTCCCTATCAGACTGGCTGGAAGGCTTGAGACCCTGCTCAGGTTTGTCCGTTTGGCTTGTCACCTCACATCTTTGAATGAAGGGACAAATGCAGCAGAGGTGAGGCTGCATTCGAGCATGGGCTCACATTGCCTCATGTCACAGAATATTTTTCCAAGGCTGAGTTCCATCCTGCTATTTTGGCTGCAGTGAGAAGGACAGTTTGTGTTATCTTGGCTGACAGTGCTTGCTCTGATGCCATGTTGGATTATCATTTCCAGGACTTGGTTGGTGGGTTCTAGTGCCTTTCCTGCCCAAATTTCCTATTTCTTTTTCCTTCCTGTTGCCAAATACTCTCCACTCATTTGCTGTGCACTATTCATTATGACTTTGATGCTATTACTTATATTTTCTGTCATACTTTCAAAATCGTTAAGGCAACTTGGCCAAACGTTTCCTAATAGTCACTGATGATAGCCAGATTGATGCTGTCCCCGGCTGGGCCAACATAACTGATATGCATATGGTGATGGAGCTCCAGTAGTCTCACATGGTAGTTTCCTCACGGGCCTCTGGAGTTGCAAGCTTTACTAAGCAGCTTGCTCAGGTAGTGTGTCTTAAAAGCTTATATTATGCCGACTGAGAGAGTCAAAAGTTCTTTACAGAAATGAACAGGGGAATTATCTACATTAGTAACACTCAGAAGGTAAGGAGTTTTTACCCTGGAAAAAAAAGTGTTCATCGTCTGGGATGAAGCAGTTGTGGAACCAATCCCAGAGTATTTCGGATGCCGTCCATGCTTTTTTTGTCATCTCAGAGTGACCTGGCAGGCAGTTGAGGTTTTTCGTCCTAAGTGCTCCCAGGATTTGGTTTTTGTACCCCATTAGGGGCAGCTTACATTTAAAATTTGCCCTTGGTATTGACACATGTAGCAAGGTTGCATGGTCTCCAAACCATTTGCCCAGTAGTCTGAGAAGCTGTTTTCATCACACAGGTTTGTTTCTCAACATTCGTGGGAAACATGCCAGTCTCATCAGCACGGAGAGCCTGTTCTTCGGCACCGGCCTAGTCACAGATAACACACAAAGTATTCTCTAAACTGTTTCTCTGTAGATCCACTCTCTACTAAGTTGAAATTTTCATGATGTATCAAGTTTTGAAACACGCTGGCCAGCCAGATAGCTGAGAAGACTTGTGTTTCTGACCCCGGGTAATGTAACTGTAAATCTCTTTAGCTTCCAGACTCCCAATGATGTCTATTTGTGTTTTTTTTTTTTTTTTTTTTTTTTTTTTTTTTTGTGTGTGTCTCTATATTTCTGAGTTTTGGTGCTTTTCCATTTTCTCCATAGCTTCATCAAGCACTTTCTGGAGTAGCCTGGTCCCCCGACATCTCCTTTTCTTCGGGCTGTTTTTCACTCACAG